GTCTTGAACAAGTTTTTATCATAAGAGACATGTCGATTAGCTCTTGAATCAACCCACCACCAATATGAGCCTTCGAGAATATTAATCTCGAAAATCATAACACAAGTAGCTCTTCGATAACGTTAGCTCGAGCAACGGACCCACGTTTTCGAAGTCGATAATTTTTAGCAACATGCCCGGGTTTAGCACAAACAAAACAAGCATAAGCATTATTGTGGTTGCCATTATTTGGTGGTGGTTTAGGACGTGATTCATAATTTTTTGGTCGGTTAAAGTGATACTAGTTTTCGTAAGGCTTTTTCTTAAAAATCTTTTTCTTTGGCTTATACCGACCATTAAAGTTTCCAATAGCTTTTGGCATGTGATAGGAGTTTTCATTAGAGGTAATGATGTTTACCTTAGTACCATTTGAACCGTTAAGTTCAACATTTTTGTCTCTATTTCTTGCTTCTTCTTCAACCCTTAAACGAGTAATAAGAGCTTTAATTGAGAGCTCATTTTGTTTATGCCTCGAAGCCTTTAGCAAAATCTTTTCAAGATTCCGGCGACTTGTCAATGATGATTGAAACTAGCATTTGCTCATTTACATATATTCCTTCGGAGCGGATGTCATATGCAATCATTTGAAACTCATAGACTTGATCCATTATAGGCTTTTCTTCATTCATTTGAAACTTGAAAAAGCGATCGTAAGCATATTTTTTAGATCCGAACTTCTTCGGTGTCATATTTTTGATCTAGAGCTTTTCGGATCTTCATAACAAAAGAATATCCTTGATCATAGTAGTCATAAAGCTCATCGGAAAGACGAGTTTAGTAAATAATTTCTATAATGATCATTATCTCTTTCCCATTTCTTAACTTCTATTTCACGTTGAGCTATCTCTTCATCACTCATATTCTTAGTTTTCTTTTTCTTAGGACTTTTTCGGTTAAGACATAAATCACATTCAATAGAGTAAGATAAAATAAAGTCTTTTGCCTCCATCTTTTGAAATTTACACCACGAAAGCGGAAGGGTTTTTTAAGATCACTCACTCCAGTGGAGCTTTGCCCATGCATATTAGTGTTTTCCATTAGCAGGTATCGTCTCAAATTGTTAAAAAAATAGAAAAATATTACCTAAAAATTTTGAATGAAAAACATCAAAGCGAACTTTACTTGAATTTTTATAGGTGATCTGTCTTGAGGCACAACCAGGTTGCTTTCTTGAGATGATACACGCCGTCCGTAGAATTTTTCCGATGCAACGGATCAAGGATATATTACACGTCGTCCTAGGGATACAACAAGTTCGGTCACTTTGTCGTGTCTTGACAAGTTTACACTACTTGTAAGACTTGAAACTCAATTATAAAATAGCACCACTCTTACCCAAAGAAAGATTAACAATAAAAAATAATATGGCTTTTAGTGGGAAATAAAAAGTAATAAAATTGAAAGAAACTTTTTCTCTTTAAGTAAAATAAAGAAAAAAATTGCTTGTTATTTTTTTCACTCTCACTAAGCAAGGAAATATTTCGTTTAAGTTCACTAAATGGCAAGTGCCATTTATATAGGAAAAAATTTTCCTGTTGGTTGCTCGGATTAATTGAAAATAAATGAATAAATGGAAAAAACGTTTAAAAAAGATGTTGTATTCATTGAATGAGAAAAGAAAAACCGATGTAGCTTTTGATTTAAAACACAATTCGAGTATATAAGTTACTCGTTTGAAACAGTAACTTATACCTCTTCGTTTTAATGGTGTAAGTTACTCGTTTCAACAATAACTTATACCTCTTTTTTTTTAAATATAAAATATATATTTTTATTAAAAATAATCTAACATGTTGTGCTAGGTGTTATCCCAGCTTACTTGTCTTTAACCATGGAAAGCATCATCCCATCTACTAATCTTAGCTTATTTTTGTCATGTTAGGCATAATGTCACTTGCTAGTCCTTAACCATTGCAAGGCATCATAACATATGCTAGTATTTTGCCATGGTACGTGCCCTATCACTTCCACTACTTGCTATAGTAGGTGTGCTTCCTCTTGTCATCTATAACTACTCGTCATGATAGGTGTGCTACCTTTTTCCACCTACCATTACTTGTCATGACAAATGTATTACTAATTGTCACCTATCAATGCACTCTGGAGCATATTACTATTGATTGTGGTGATGGTGTATATCACTCGTTAAGATGTGTCATTACTAATTGTGATGCACACCAATACTGGAGTTTATGTAACTATTGGTGTGTACCACTATTGGGAGTTGATGGCTAGAACATAGCAGACTAAAGTAGAGTCATCATAATATCCTTGGATAGTTGTCATGGTTTCATCGTTCATATCACATTTATAAGTTTTTATAAGGTCATCCATCACTAAATTACTCCTATTGATTAGGTTTAACTAGGGAGTTACCAACTCGATTGTACATTATTTACACTAAAATCTTAAGTTAATGATGAAAACAAAAATTTGTTTCCCATACAATGTTAGAAAAGCCATACCCTACATGGTATGGGCTATTAGCTCGTTATGCTATCAATTTTTGTGATAATCAAATTTACTTGAAAAATTGACCAAGTATAAGGAAAAACCTCGCTTGACAAGTAGGTAGCCTACCAAGTGTCATGGTAGGTGTCTTATCACGTGCCAATTATTTGCCAAAAAATTGGCTAAGTATATTGACATCTCTTTTCTTTTTTAGATTGGTCAAGATTTGATAGGAAGACAACCTTAAGTGAGAAGACACATCAATATAGAATTCATACTTGGTTACGGTAATGATCTTATCAATTAAGATTCTAAAAAATAACACATATATGGATCAATCTCAAAGTTATTGGTGTCTTAGACGTCATTTGTTTTAACAAATAATTGGATGTCTATTTTGATATTGAAAAAAACAATATGGAGAGACAATAATTTCGAGTACTTCTTAGCTCCTCCCTAAGTTTTTGATCCAACGAATTGATGAAGAGGCGAGAACTTTCCTTGAATGCTAAGTTGACAACAATGACATTGAATTTTTTTTCCTATGCTAAGAATATTTTTTATGCTTATGACATGGCTAGCACGTAGTTTGGCCAAATAATCATGGCATTACCATTAAAAAAAAATCAGAAAAAGCTCATGGTTTGGCCCTTATACGGATTGACCGGATAGATATGACGTTGCCATAAAAAAACAAACTAAGCATGAAAAACTCATTATTTGATTAAATAAACAAGGCTTTGCCATCGAAAGAGAAAATTTAAGCATCAAAAGCTCATGATTTGGCTAGCAAGTAGCTTGGCTAGATAAAAAGCCGAGCATGAAAACTCACGATACTGGATAACATGTAGCTTAGCCGGATAGACCTAACGTTGCCATTAGTAAGAAAAATTGAGTATGGAAAGCTCACGACCCGACCATCATACGGCTTTGCTAGATTAGTATTTTTCTTGATTGTCTTAAAAGGACCCATTGTTATTTCACAATCATTAAATTCTTAATAGAGTCATCAAATTACAAGAGATGATTTTTTAAGAACTAATCAAATGACTAATTAATAGACGGATCAAATATATAATCGAGCGATATTGTGACTTGTAGAAACAATAATTAACCAACCAAATAGAGTAAATGCAAGTAGTAAGAGTCATGAAAGGAGAAACAAATAGCGTTAGCAAAGAGCAAGTCGAGTGGCGAACGGAAGAGTGAGTCAAAGTCGAAACAAATAAAGTTTTGGATGTTGTTTAATGTATAAGTGAGAGAGCTTTGAGAGAGAATTTAGAGAAAGTGTAGAAATTTTTGCTAAGGATTAAAAAGTTCTAACACCTTCACAATGATGCGAGTTTAATATTTATAGTAAAATAAGAAGACTTTTAACCATTAGGATAATACCGTATCATCATATTTGAATAATCAAATTTGAGTTAAAAAAAATAAAAAACCTACATTTTTTGCACTAAACTATTTCAACTTTCTAACAAATGTTAAATAAAGTAATAATTAGATTTTTTTTTTAATGGATCCTATTTCGAACCTATCATGTCAATCTCACTAATGTATGCCAAAAACAAGATATAGAGACAACTTTTTTTAGAATATCTATATCCATTTTTGCGTGGTCTAAAGTTTGTGTTCGGCAAAATTTATCCTCAATTCAACCATTTACTGTATAATTTAGACTCACATCGAAATAAAAAAAATAATAATATAGATTAATATATAATATGATAAACTAAATGTTCATGGACAAATTCAACGCGTACAATTATATAGAATGAATTCATCAGACAATTTAGTTTCATACAATAACCCAGCATAAGTAAAAACTCCACTTTTGTGAAAACTTTAAAATTGATTCGAAGTTAGAAGAAAAGCCAGCAACATCTTTGTATGTACAACGAATGTCATGTTACATTCATATTGCTTAAAGCCACATGTTATCCTTCTCTTCGTCACAACATCATTGGTAAAACGGGTCAAAGAAACGGCTTTGCTGGTTCAATCACTTAATAGCTCTGACTAGCAACCATAGACGGCAAAGTGCTGACTTTGTGTACCATAGCAGAAATTCATTCTCTGTTGGGAAAGAGAAGCGAAAAAACAAAATGCGGACATACATCCTGAATTTGTGTGCCAACGCTCCTTGCATCTCTTCTGCAATTTTCGAAGAAAAACAAGAGGAATAGAAGATGATGTTGGTATACAATGGAATACAGTTGCAACTTGCAAAGAAACGCAAAAAAAATGCCCCTTAATGTGTTCTGTAACATCCAAATAAAAGTTGATGAATTTGATGATGCTATTAACAATTTACCACTATTTACAATAGAGCCACTTCAACCTTTCACCACTCATGTCTCCTATCACTCTCTCACAACAAACAAATGAAATATTATAACTCCAAAGAAACCACAAACAGGGCTGAAAGTCCTACTTAACTGTGAAGATTTAACTAATAATAATACAACATATGGGAAAAAGCACTGACTCTATCGTCAACTCTTGTCGAGTTATCTGCCCTCATTAGCCAATTTTAATGATCCATCCTTCATTAGTTTCAGGCTCAGATTGTTGAACCGCTCTCGTGAATATTGCCTTGATGCTTTCCTCCAATCTGTTCCAGCCTTCATCATTGTGGCAAACTCCTCGTAACTTATTTTTCCATCCTGCAAGTCCACAGAAAGCGGCTCTGGTTAGATTCCATGCATGCCAAAATTAATAGAAATAAGCACCAATAGTTAGGAACACACTTTCCATGTGTACTTGGAAAGTTTCAGAGAAAGAAAGACTGCATTTTATCTCAAGTTTTTTTTTTTTTTTTTAAACAAAATAAAGATGAATACGTGTGTGTGATTTCCATCAAACATAGAATATGCAAATGCCGATTTTAGATCCAGAAGTGAACCAACAAACAAGAAAATGGGACTGACCTTATCTGTGTCCACATCATGAATAATAGCATTAATAACTTCTTCATTGCTTCCATCAACTTCATCAGCCAAGGCATCTCTTAACTCATCAATTTCTATGTGCCCGCTTTGGTTTTGATCAAAGAATTCAAAGGCTTTGCGAAGGTGTTCATCATTCCCCATCTTTCTCAAGTGAACAGTAATAGCCACAAACTCTCCATAGTCCAGATAACCATCTCGATCTACATCACCCTGTTAAAGAAATCCAGTTTAAGTTCATGGCACAAAATGGCAGTTGACAGTAAAAAGGTTTTTTTTTCTCACCATCCAAGATTGAAGTATAAACAAAGTAGAAATTTCTTTCAAGACTTACCACTTCCATTAAAATTTGAAGATCACTCTCAGCGACCTGCTGGCCAAGTTTTTGTAATCCAACTCTAAGCTCATCAATGTTAATCTTGCCCTTGTTGCCAGTATCCATCAGTTGGAATCCCTCCTTTATGCCAGCAACTTCCTCAACTGACAAATGCTCAGCTATTACCTGTTAATTTGACATCGCCAAAGAATAGAGGATACAATGTAAGAAAGACAAGACTCGAACTAAAATGAAGACAACATCCAAACAATATCAAAAGACAAAAACCAAGCTTTCTTGAACTGGAAAGAAAAAGAAATCCCTAGTTTACAAATTCTATCCAAAAATGCTAAAGACAATACCCTCAGAGCTCTTTTCTTGAGTTTGTTCATAAAAGAGAATTGCTTGAGCCTTGATCTCACTGTTTCACCCAAATAAACATTAGGAGCCTTCTTTGCATTTTGCAGCCAAGGGTGATCTGCATTTTAAGAAGGAGCAACTTAATTAGAAGACCTGTGATTCCATGAATTTCAATTTCGAGAATTTTCCAATCAATATCATCCAATTATCCAAAAAATAAAATATCCAAAAGCATGAGAAAACCATTTCATTAGAAATTAACATTACCTAGCACTTGCTGTGCTGTAAGCCGGCGCTTCGGGTCAGGATCAAGCATCTTTCTCACAAGGTCTTTCGCATTATCAGAAACTTTGGGCCAAGGATCCCTCTTAAAGTCAATAACCGACCTAATAATTGCTTGTGCAACTCCCTGTTCAGTTTCTGCAGTGGAGGTAGAGTTATATTAGTGGAAAATACCTATACCGGTGTATAATGCATGTATAACTAAGAATTGTCCCTGAGCACCTAATGAAAACAATAATTATCTAAGAATTGTCCCTGAGCACCTAATGATAACAATAATTATGCATACAGTTAGATTTTCTTTAACCAAAACAAAATACCAACCTGCCCAGAAGGGTGGAATACCACAAAGTAAGATGTAAAGTATTACACCAGCACTCCAGACATCTATTTCTGGGCCATAATTCCTCTTTAGCACTTCAGGAGCCATGTAGTATGGACTTCCAACTATCTCAGTAAATCTTTCACCTGAAGAAAGAAAAAAAAACCTTCAGCCAATGTACATAAAAGGATGAAAGCTAAAAAGCAGAAGTACAAAACAGAATACGTTTATACATTAAAAAAAATATATATATGCAATAGGTTATGGATAATAATATGACTTTACCAGGTTTGAAAAACACTGACAATCCAAAATCAATTGCCTTCAAAGGTGCATTCTCCTTCTTGTTTGCAAACAAAAAGTTCTCAGGTTTTAGATCCCGATGCATCACCCCATGCTTGTGGCATATCTGCAACATGACAAAACATATCTCAAAAGCATTAGGACACTGCTAACTGAGTATAATATGTGCAAGCTGGAAGGTATATGTCAATTGAGGAATTGTATGCTATAAGATAGAGAGGAACGAAACCCTATTGGCCCTTTAATTGATTTTGGGCAATATAGAAGTCATTACCAAGAGGTTACAATTGTTAGGCAATTTAACTATTTTCCATTCAACTCTTCATTATCAGCAAAAGAGTTTCAAAACAGCAGTCAGAAATCAGATGAAGAATAAAGGAGACCGATAAAACAAAGAGGGAACCAAACAACTTTACCAACTGAACAGTTACGAAATTAATGAAAAGTGCACCAGGAGAGGAATCAAGATACAATGAACCACGAAGGTTACTCAAAGTAAGCACAATAAGCATGGGCAAAAGGAAAGATCAACATAAAGAGAATCCACACAGTATAAAGAATTAAAAATTTCAGACCACCAGAATCAATATCTGCCTCATCTACTCATCAAGACAAACTATCCCATCATTCTATCTAACAATATGCAGGAAAACTTTCAGGTGATTAGATTTTTATCAACTGCTCATGGTCCTACACTTACAAAACCATATTTCCTCAGCACACAAATAGTTCTAATTGCCACCATCTGGTCAAGATCCAAAAGCTAAATCCATGTACAAGCATATAAAATTAACACATTAAAAAAGCAATATTTAACGACAAAAGATTCAATCATGAAAACTAAAAAATAAAAAATAAAAAACACTAAGAGTATCTCTTTTACCTGAACAACCTCCACAATGGTCTTTGTAACAGCAGCAGCAGCCCTTTCGGTGTAATGTCCTCTAGCCACAATCCTATCAAACAACTCTCCTCCTTCACATAATTCCATCACCAAATGAACTGCATTATCATCCTCATAAGTATCCTTTAAGGTCACAAGATTAGGATGCTGAGGCATATGTTTCATGATCTCCACTTCTCTCCTCACATCCTCTATATCAACAGCTGTCCTTAACTTCTTTTTAGAGATAGATTTGCAAGCAAAACTCTCGCCAGTCTCCTTATCAGTACACAAATATGTGATTCCAAACTCACCCCTGCCTAGTTCTCTACCAAGTTCATATCTTTGCTCAATTTCTTTTCCTGTTGGCTCTTTTAACACAGTCAGCTTGTGTTGGCCTCCATTATGAGGCCTGTAATCTAAAGCAAAGGGGTTTTGTTTCTTCTTGTGCTTCTTTTTCTCATGATCAGGGACTTCTGATGGTGTTACACAACAATTACCCATGAATAAAAAAAGATAAAGAGAAGAATAATAAATAGGGTTTCTCTCTGGCCTTTAGTGGGGCACTTGTATTTCAAGGGAAAAAAAATATTGAATTGGATATTTAGATCAATCACAATCTGATCTTTAGACCAAAACAAGAAAAGGGTATTTGAAAAAGCTTGAAAGACCCAAACTTAAGCTACAAATGATCAAATCTCAGAATAGAAAACACAATTCTCAACAGAATTTGATTCAACAAATAAAGGGCAAAGCTTGATTAAGAAGAAAATTTTGATTTGCAAACACGGTGTTGCCTTTTCAAGAAAAAATAGATCAAGCGAGAAATAATAAGGAATTCAAGACAAGAAATGAAAGGAGAAAGAAAGGCGTGAGATTTATGGGAAGGAAAGGGAAGGTAATGGGGTTGATAAAAGGAATTTACAAGGCAACAACCTCTATTGTATTTTTATATATAATCAAGAATTCATCCAACAAAACAACGTGGGATTAGATTGGATTGGTTCAAAGAGAAGAAAAAAAGAGAGGTCAAACCTCTTTCCCATTTACAACACTTCCCTTCCCATCTGTTTCCTTTTCTCTTTTTACAAATTTTATTATTACAAGTTTCCGAGAGAGAAGGAAGGCTAGCCTGTTGTTTTCCCAAAATATCCAAAAGAAAGATCGATTTAAATTTTTAAATATTCAATTGATATTTTATCTTTTCTATTATTTGATAGTTCATTGACAACTTTTTACTCCTGAAATATTATAGCTGTGACACAATGAGATCTGTACTAATAATTTGGTCAATTGTATCCTTAAACTATCATGTTTTGGACAATTATTGTGCCTCTATTTGATTTGAGCGTTAGTATTGACCAAAATCTCTATAAACAAATAATTTAATTCTTGGTTTTTTGAACTGAAAATTTTCATATATGCTAAAAAAATTCAATATATTTTCAAAAATAATTTCAATTTTTTTTTATATCAGGAAGTATTTTTAATTTTTCTTAATCAGTAAATATTTAAAAATCATAAAATTTTAAAATCAATTTGGAATGATCTCAAATGTTTTTTAGAATCCTATATATATATATATATATATATATATATATATATATATATATATATATATATATATATTATTCTCTAAATATTTGCATGGTCTAACGCATAATACATAACCAAAATTTAAATTAGATTTATTTTGAGAAACATATATGAAAACATTTTGAAAAACATAGTAAAATTATGTATTTAAATTCATATGAATTCCTTGGAGTTTTACAAAAAAGAAAGAAAAAATTGAGATAATTCTAGTTTATCTTCTAATTTTCCATAATTAATTGAATTTTTACAATTCAAAAAAAAAAAAATGATCTCGGACTTTAAAAAAAAAATGAAATTATTTGTGAAATATATTGAGACCTTTCCTTAGCATATATGAAAAAATTTAGTTCAAAATACCAAAATTAAAAAAAAAATTAAATGATAATTACCAAATCTGACCGATGGACAATATATGTCCAGAATACAATAGTTCAATGACAAAAATGACTAAACTAATTATAAAGATTTCAATTTACCACAACCTCAATAATCCAGGAGCAAAAACCACCATCAAACCATTGTTTGATGGTGTAGAGAACCGATCCTTGTTTTTCCATCTATTTGACAAACAAATATATTTCTTATTTTATTAATCAGAATTAAATAAGTTGGAAAAAATATGTTTAATCCCGGTGTAAATTGGTTATATTTTTTTATTATAAAATTAAAATAACAACATTTCTTTAAAAAAAAAAAAAAAATCACTTCCTTGTCGGTATGGTTTATTTTGTCTCCAATAATGAGAAGCAAAATTTGGAATCTAACGACGGGGGATGCATATGGCAACATTCGGATCGCATTTTTTAAGGAAACCTCATGAATGAATGGGATGTGGATTCATTACAATGTGCATGCACTGTATTATTTGTGTTATTAAAAGGGAGAAATAAATAAAAAAAAAATGGTATAGCCAGCCCCAATTAGAAGCAAGCTGGGCCTTGGATTCACCCTATTCTTCTTCTCCATATTTCCAGAATTAAAATTCGGGTCAAGGAAAAGGAAACTCAATTAACGTGAGTCGTCTAAAAATATTTTCAAAAGGGTTCTATAAACAGCACTGATATGTTGTCCCAAAACTAGTTCTAGAAATTCACCCAAAAAAAGTGGTTCTAGAAAAAACGTACCCATTCAACTCTTGTCTTAAAAAGTGATTTGTTTTGACAATTTCGCTTTGAACTTTGTAATTCTATGTGTGCATGCAAAGTTGCATTCTTGATTGCAACATATTTGATGACAATTTCATTTTTCTTTTTTTCCCCTAATCACGTGCATTGTAGAAGCATCAGCTTTTTTTCAAAAAAAAAAAAAAAGAAAGAAAGAAAAGAAAAAAGCAATGTATTGTATTTTGACTACAAAATAACTATAATTGTGAAGTATAAATGGGTTAAATTACTATATATATTTCACTTTATTAATATTATCATCCTCAAATATTCATCATTTATGGTACTCGTCAGGGCCGGCTCTATAATATACGTGGCCCTACGCAAAATAATATTTTAGAGATTTTTTCTTAAAACAAATAAATATTAAACATTATTTAAAATTTATTTTTCTTGTTTTTTGAGATGCAAAATCTCTAATTAAATTTTTGTATTCAAGTTTACAAAGCAAATCTTCTACCTTTCTTTTTTTTTTTTTTACGTTTTTCATATCCAGCATTCATACTTTCTAGTAGACATTTTATTCAAATAATAAAATAAAAACATAATTATAAAAAAAATAAAAAACTTTAGCACTCGATTATATTTGCTTGCCACGCCTAATCAAGTAAACCCGGAGAGAATCACTCGAGAAAATAAAAAGAAATTTGAGAAAAAAATAAAATATTATATGATTTATATACATAATTTTATTTGCATAAATTAAAAAATTACCTTCGATTTTTCTCGCCAAGCTAATTAGAAAAGGTTTTATAAGAGATCCTTGATTGTTTGGAGAAAAAAAGAATATAATAAAAAAAATTTAGAGATCTAAAAATTGTTTCACTCATAAATATTTTTTAAAAATTTTTCTCGTAAGTAAAAATAGAGACTGCAGCTTTTAATTTATCTCATTCTTTTAGAATGTAAATTTAGAATAAAATTTTAATTGAAACTCTTTTTTCTATGGGGCTCTAGGCATAGCCTATGCCCTGAGCCGGCCTGGTACTCGTGGGGAATCAATAACAATATCGTTAATACAGTAAACATCATTTTGCTCATTTTATCATAAATTCTATCAACTTTGTGAAAGACTAAATCGAATTATGTAAAAAATATAAAACTACATATCTTTCATGAATTAAGAAAATAATTTCTTTTAAGTTAGCGGGTGTTTTCACGAATCTTAGAGAAGGTGGGTGTCATCAAAAAATTAACCATCTTGCTCTCTATGTGTTTTGGACGCGCTTACCATTTATGGATACTTCATTAAATTAAAAAGAAAAATATACAAATTTGGGGATGATAATGTAAAAATGCATAGCGCTTTGGCTTTTGCCAACGACTTTACCGACAAGCAGATGCTTTGATTTGGAAACTTGCTTGTTTACATGGCACCCTCCCATTCGTTAGGACATGACCTTCTAGAAGCCAGCTATAAAGTGCACGAATTTCTCACGTATATCATATTTCCAAAAACAACCCATTCTCTTCCAAGAAAATTACTACTCTAGAAATTAATTACGCTAATGGTCCAAGATATTTCTTTGCTGTTTTCTTTATTTTAATTGCATCACTATACTAAATTTTTCATTAATTATATTCTTTTACTTTAACTGGGGTCTTTTTTTCTCCATCAGTCCAAATTTTTAAATAATAACACCAATTTTCGATGACAAATGCATAAAATATCCACATATGATGATTTTTTTTAAAAAAATTATTTTTCATTAATTATATTCTTTTACTTTAACTGGGGTCTTTATTTTCTCCATCAGTCCAAATTTTTAAATAATAACACCAATTTTCGATGACAAATGCATAAAATATCCACATATGATGATTTTTAAAAAAAAATTAAATTTTTTTTTAAAAAAATCACAAAAGTCCCTTTTTTCCCTCTGTCTTCTGCTTCAGTTCCAGTGTTATGGAAAAAAATAAAAAAATATATATTCTTTTTGGTTTGGATTTGAAATGAATTTTCATAATAAATTTTTGAAAAAAAAAATGTTCCTTCATATGCATAAAAAAAAATTTCTTTTTTAGTTTGGATTTGAGACAAAGCAAAAAAAGAAAAAAAAGCTGAAATTAATTATTTATTTATATACATAAAGATAAAAGCACAAAAAAAAGAGTATTTTGAGATTTTTTTTTTCAAAAAAAATAGTTATATGTTAGCATTTTTTGCGTCAGAAATTGATGCATATTTAGACGAAGGAACAAAATTAAGGTGCATCATGGCTTTATTTTATTTTTTTGGATGAATAGATTTAAAATTTTCTTTGATGATATGTTGTTTTCAATCACTTGAAACACTTTGTTATAGACAACTAGTCTAGTTGTAACAAAAATATGCATTGTCTATTGAAAAGACTTATCATCATTTGCAATAATCAAATAGATTTCAATTCAATCATGTAATTAATTTATCTTTAAGATTTATAATCATTCTCTTTTTCTTATATACAATATTCTGGTTGAATTTATTCTAAATTGATAAATAAATGTTTTCGTTATTAGAATTATTGGTGGATATTTAATTTATCTTTTTGAATAGATTAATGATAGATCATTATGTTGAAATTAAACAATTCATTTTTACAATATGATAGCTTGAAAGGTAAAGGTGAAGGAAAAATAATATACATTATTCTGAATTATAATTCTAATCTGAAACTAATTTTATTTGCATTAAATTAAAATCAACAAGGAATAGAGGAAGTTATTGCTGATTAAAAAAGAGATATACTACTCGTTTTGTCTGCG